AAAAAAAAAAAAAAAAAAAAAAAAAAGAAAATAAAATTATATGTAGAAGGCCTTAATTGCTTTTCTGAAGATGCATAAAAATGTAAAAGAACAAGGAAAATGTAGGTGTAATGCAGTGTAGTTGGGGAAAACCATATTATAAGTTGAAATATTTTTTACAAAAGTAAACATTTTCTGTAATGCTTATATCTCCATTCCTACTAGCTTACAAGAATTTGTGAAGGATGCTGGAAATTACAGCAAGAAAATAGTAGATGATCTTCTGGACCAGATCACTAGTGGAGATCACTCCAAAACTATTTATCAGCTAAAGCAGGTGTGTCCTTGATGTGCAGAAATGTCACAAGTTCATCATAACATGAATGACCTGTTTCTGTTTCATTCCAAAGAAGCTGTGGCTGTCCCCTCCCTGAAGTGTTCAAGGCCAGGTTGGACGGGGCTTTGAGCAGTCTGGTCTAGTGGAAGGTGTCCCTGCCCATGGCAGGGGGGTTGGAACTAGGTGACCTTTAAGGTCCTTTCCAACCCAAACCATTCTGTGATCCCTGATGTGGTGGAAGTGAGATTGTGCAACATCTCTGCAGAGTTAAAAGTAGAAAAGGGTGGGTGATGTTTGGGGAAAATGAGAAAATAGAATGAAAAATACAGAGGATTCTTTAGAATCTTCTGGGCGTTTTTTTCCAGTCCCAATTGGAAAAAGATTGTATGAGACAGGAAGAAATGTAAAGGATTAGTTCAAAAAATTAAAAAGTTCAAAACCAATATTTTAAATATTCTACATCTAGAAACATGTGTATACAACTCACTGAATTTAGCTGTAAAACAAAACATGTGCCTTCCCTTGTGTACCACCTTGTTTTATGGATATTGTTTCAAATGAGGATTTCTTTCAAATGATCAATAGCTACTTAGATTTAGAAATGCTCTTTGATTGTGACATATGCGGGTATGTACAGATTTTGTGCAATGAAAGGTGTTTCAGTGATGTGCCATGGTGTTTTATGCATGAGTATTTTGTGCTGCTATGTTTGAGTAAGGATGAATATCTCTGAAAGTGAAGCCTTAAAGGGTTTGGAATCAGAAGTTACTGAAGTAATGACTGAGATACTGCACATGAAGTTTATGGGCAAAGAAATAGTGTAAGGAGACTCAAAATTAGTAAAAATGCATAATACTAAAATATTACGAAACAGTAACTGTTACATTGTAATTGCATTACAGATATGTGAAAGATATCTGTCTCTAACCTCATTTTGTGTGCAAAGTTTGAATATACTTGAAATTGTGCAAAAGAGGTCTTTCTCTTACATTGAATGAAAGTAATTGTTAGTGTTGTGTCTTTCTAGCGGCGAAACATCCCAGTAAAACCACTGGATGAAGTTAAAGTAAGTTATGCTGATACTCAGTCTTTTTTTTTTTTTTTTAACTGGAAAAAATTTCTTGGCATTTAAAGTAGAGAAAGTGATGGTCTCTGGGCTTGCAACATTCAAATTCCTAATTTTATTTAGTGTGCATCTATTGTGTATAATATAACAGAAAACCTTGGTAAGTGTAGTATATGATTATTAGGTTGGTCCTAAAGATGCTGTCCTAAGATGCTGTCCTGATAAGTTCTAAATTGTTTACGTGAATGTATATGTTCACCCATTAGAGAAGAGCTAGTCTTTATCTTTTTTGTAGAGACCTACGCAAACATCACAAAACACGATAGTGTTCTGTGGTCGCCTGGGATTTCTTCATGGTAAACCAGTAAATTACACAAATTAAGAGTGTTTTTAGGAAACAAGTGTAAACTGTGAAATGCTAAGATCTAAAATATGATTTGGTTCTTTAGGTTTTGCCAGTTCTCATAAAAGAAGAACACAAGTTGCGTAATACCTGTCCGGATTCTTCCAAACAGATTATGGTAAAATGGTTTGTGTGTTTAAAAAAAACAAAACCAAAAAAAGGGAGTATTTTGAGATACTCATTTTGTTTCAGTGCAAGGATATACATGTTCTGAGGTAGGAGATTAAAGTAGCAGTATCTAGAATAAACTTTCAGTACTTAAAGTGCATTCTCTTGACACTCACTCTGTTTTAGTTAGTGGCTTTGTCTGTCTTGTTCTGTATTTTCTAGTTCAATTCAGCATGCATAACTAAATCTGAGACGAAAAGACCTCTTAGGAATCTGAAAGATAATTGATGAATACTGCTGATGAATATTTGAGGTTCAAGGTGCTGTAAAAGTGGAAAAAACCAGTAGTACTTATCAGTTTTACCACAGCTGTTGAAAACATCTGTTAGAAAGTAGGGGTAAATAATGCGTATCTTACGCTTTCGCAGCTACTAATCAAATCTTTGTTTGAGTGGTACAGGTTTTATCTTGCAAATTATTTGTGACAACAGAAGAGATGCACTTCATTCCATGGCACCTCACATAAAAAATTAAATGGATTACATTATAGCACATAATGACATTTATGGTTTTATAAATACACCTTATGTTTTGTGGAAAGGTTTGTATTTCTGTAGAAGGTGTCTGGTTAAATTAATTCATGAAACTGCTAAGTTTCATTTTTTATATTTATAAAAGATAATACCTGGTTTTGTTTTTACCTGCATGTCTTATTCCTCCTGATTGAATAGGCAATGTCTGAGAATTCTGTTAGAATGCGTAATCATTTTTACTTTCATCTCTTACTTTTTGCCATTACATAGCAGTATTGCAGCAGGGATGGAAAAAATGAAATTGTTGTAGTGCAGGGTGTATTTCATTATCCAAATGTATAGGAAAAACTACTTCAGGACCAACTCCAGCTGATACTATATAGGGAGGCCCACCTTACTGATTTTACTAGTCACATACTAAAAATTTCAATAAATCCAGGGTTGCATTGAAAAGGTGAAGGGAAAAGGGGATCTTGGAGTGATTCATGATGGGGGAGACTGGTAATTCTTCTGCAACAAAACAGGGTTGAGTTGAGTATGTAATTGAGTCCCAGAGGATTTGGTATAGTTGGTTTCAACAGTCCTGGATGATGAGATGAAAGATTAAATTTAGACTACCCTGCAGATCCCTTGCCATTCATATGACTGGTGAGTCCTGGGACCACGTTTGAGCTGCTTGTGAGTTGCAGGTTAGCCAAAACTGTTATGGATGCTCCAAAGTGTTGTGGTGCACACTGACAGTATGGATTCGTGCATTCACCTTAAACATTAAAAAGTTATCACGACAGCTTATCGCTATTGCTAGTCTTTCTGGTTTTTGTATTTTGATAGGTTGGAGAATCTGCTGGAGACAGTAATGCTTCTGACTTGGACTTTCTCTCTATGAAAACATACTCAGATGTATCTCTTGATATTTCTATGTTAAGTTCATTAGGTAAGTAATTAAATATACAAGCCATCAATAATGATTTAGTTGTACCCTTTAGGCAAAATAACAGCTGGATTTGCTAAGAATAACAAAGTTTGAAGCGTAGTAGTAAGTCTACATTTGACA